GAACGCGATTATGGTACATGTGGGCGCTGATGCCAATGCTCACATCAATCAACTTCGACTGGAATTAGAGAACGCAGAGATGAATGCAAAGCAAGAAGCTCTGGCGGTCGGCTACGCTAACGACCAAACATGTGCGTTACAGATCGAGATGCTCGAGGTTGCTAATCAGAACCAGACGATGAAGCACACCATGGCCATGAACGTTAGACGACTGGAAACTGAGCTCGATGCTGCTGACATGAAGAGGGACGAGATCATGAAGGAGTTCCGTAGTAACATAAGATCTGAACATGACCGTTATGCAGAATGTGAACATCACTTAGCTTTGGAAGAATCGCAACTTCGATTGCAGGTGATTCACAATGAGAACTTACAATCTCGACTAGCGATTTCTGAGAGCAAGGTTTCTGTAGAATCTCTAGCTGAATCAAGTGGCATGCGGGACATGAGGATAATGGGACTACGTTCGGAACTACACATGAAACAAAGTCTTTTAGATCGAATGCAACAACAACTGACTGAATCGAAGAATCAGTATCATGAACTTTCCTGTCAACAAGCCAGAAGATCCTCGCCAAGCAGATCACCGCATGGAGGGTTATTACATGAAATGTATATGCAAGCCGTGCGTGAGCGTGACAACTTAAAGGAGTCCAAGGCTGAAGTTGACAAGTTGTACTTGCAAAACAGAACTGAACTCATTGACACTGAGAACCTGCTCAAAACCTTCCAGCAACATTTCGATGAAACTGGTAAGAAGTATCAAGATGCTCTGAACAAGATCAATCACATGAGTAGCAATCCGAATGTGACGAGTAACTTGTTCGACAGTTTGCACCATGAAATTAATGACAGGGACACAGCTATCGCTCGCCTTCATACTGAACTTGAAGCCCAAAAAGATTCTCTTGAGCGTGCTCACAGGGATGCAGGTAAGTCCATCAAGATGTTGAACGACAGAAGACTCGTGATCAAAGGTGCGACTGACTATTCCATTCCTGAAAGCCACTTGACCGAGATGCATCAATTGGCTAGTGAGCGTTTCGCTGAGGTAGAAGAGATGTCGAGCACCATTGCTGCCCTGAAGTTGGAAAACCAGGCTTATTCTTCTTCATCATTGAATAGACCGACTACATTACATGGGTACCCCAGTAGTGCTATGCCTCGGAACGAATGTGAAGAGAAGTGTGCCAAACTGAAAGCAGAATTGGATGAGATGAAGCAAGAGAGGAACACCGAGGTTCGAAATCTTCAAGAAGAATTAAAGAAGATGGAAGATCGGAAAGATTACTACAAGAACAATTTCTCTCAAGCTGAAGATCGTGCCAATGATGAAGAGCAGGAATACCGAGCAGAAGCTGAAGCCTTCGAGAAGCTCAGGAACGAGTACAACACCAATGTCAAGGAGTTGGAGAACCTTGAGAGGGATAGATCTAAGTCATCCGTATCTCTAAGGGAAGCCGAAAAGATCAGCCTCCAACCCTGGCCTAAGACCACTGAACTTTCATCCTGGAAGGGAAGTGTCGTTCATGAAGTTTGTGTTGCAAGTGGAGATCGAAACTATGAAGATTGGAAAGCGTGGCTAGCTCCGTGTCTTGCAGATCAACCTGACTTGGAAGCGCTGGCCAAAGCACCCGATGTGAGATTCCAATCCATTGATGCCAAGCTCTCCAATGCCTTGAGGAAAGTCATTGACAATGCTGGGGACAAGTCCATGCAAGTGAAGTATGACATGTCCATGAAGAACCAAATGTATGGGAGGAGTGGGGGCTTCATCAAGGGACGCGAACTATTCGCAATGGTCTTGATTAGTTTCAAGTCGCCTGACCACACTGAGGTTCTATACAACGCCCATCATTTGTACATGTTCAACTACTATGGAGATGACCAACTTGAGGCCTTCTACAACAAGTGGCTTGACATCATATACAACATGAAACATGATGATCTGCCTTCTGCAAATTCCCTGCGTGACACATTGTTCCGGAAGATTGAACATTCAAAGCTTATGTCTTTCGATATCAGCCGATACAAAACCTATGATGAAGGGCATCCTGAAAAGACCTATGAATTTCTGACCAATATGATCAAAGGATACATAGCGCGAGGAAAGCAAGAACGACTGTTGAAAGATAGAGAACGTGCAGTGAAACTGTCATTGTCCTCTAACAAGACAACACCTGCTCTGGAAGATGCAGACAAGCCTGCTGCTCCTATCAAGACCAAGAAGGAGAATGAAGCAGCTGCGTCGTCTACAGGTGATCCTCCCAAGCGACCTAAAGCAAAGGCGAAGAGTGAAGCTGCATCAGTACTCCCAACACCTTCTCCGAAATCTCATGCCGACAAGAACAGCAAGAAAGGCAAAGGTGGGAAGGGGAGATCATCTTCACCCATTGACAAGAAGAAGATCTTTTGCAATTACTTCTTCAATAAAGGAGGATGCAACAAAGGTGACAAATGTCCTTACAGTCATTCTCAGAAGGTCTATGATGCCAAGATG